GCTGCTACAGGTGAGGGGGTTGGGGAGGCAGGCTCAGGTGCAGACCAGCTGCTGCAGATGTGGGGTGCGTGTGCACAATTTTAGGGGAGGACCAGTTGCAGGATGTAGAAAGAAGGGAGGTGTACCTTCTTCAGCAGCTTGAATAGCAGAACTGTTGGCCTGCGGGAGAGGTAGACCAGGAGGCAAGTTCCCGGAAACCGGGCTTGAGGGAGTACAACACCTCAGAGCTTCTTGACCTTGAGGCTTCTGATAGGAGTTTACTGAGTGCCCTAGACATGGGCAACCCCACCTGACCTCAATCGCTCCTTCTGGTAGCTCCCAGCAGCTCGAAAACAGGGAAGTCCCTGTGCAGCAGCCTGAGATGAGTTTAGTGAGTATGGGGAACTCTGAGGCCTTGCCACTATCTATAATTACCAGGAGAAAGGAAAACAGCAGCTCAGGACTTAAGTCCCAGGCTCTCCTACTAGCCTCCTACCCAATGAGTACAGACCAAGGCTGGGAAACAGTGCACTGAAGCCACTGTCACCAGCCACTGGGGTAGCAGCCTCCTCCAAGCCCTGCTATAGGAGCCTTGGTACTCCTGGACTTGGGTGCCACATTGCTCAAGCATCTGGGTTCCCAACAAACTGTTGTGCTGCAGTTAGCACTGGCAAAGTGGAGGCTTTACTTGAGGCCAGAAGAGGGGTGAGTGACTGTGGGAAGTACAGCTCCCAGAAGCCTCTGGGACACAGAGAACAAATCCCCATCCTCCTAGCCCTTTGAAATACCACAATGACCCAAGGGACACTTCTTCCAGAGGTCTGTGGGGTAGTGACACAGCCTGGAAGACAGTCATAGAACAGTAAGTAGGAGACAAAACTACCAGTATCTAGTATAACACACATGTCTCAATGGGATACAGAGGCATAGCTACCTGGAACAGTAGTGGGATAGCTCTTGTTGGAGCTAGATCTATCTCCCATATACCTCTCTCTGGGTCCCTGCCTCTCTAAGTCTCTATCCCTCTCTCTCCCCAGGTCTCTATCTCACTGTCTTCCCCTTGCTCCTGGGTTTCTGGTCACCTTTCTCTCTGGGTCTGGGTCTCTGTCCCCTCTCTCTAGGTCTGAGTCTGTCCCCTTATCTCAAGTCTGTGCCCTTTCTCTTAGGGTCTCTGTCTCTCTCTTTTCTCTGCTTCCCTCTGACTATCTCTTCTTCCCCACGACCTCACCTTGCTGTTCTTTGTTCTTTGTTTCTTTATTCCTCTCTTGCTGTAACAGTTGCTTACCTCTCTGGCTCTGTCCTCTTGCTTCTGCACAGCCCCGTGTGACTCCAGAGGGTGAGTACATTCCACTGGACCACCAGGATGTGGATGTTGGCTTTGACGGCGGCACTGATCGCATCTTCCTCGTATCCCCCATTACCATTGTGCACGAGATTGACTCAGCCAGTCCACTGTATGAGCTGGGGCGAGCGGAACTGGCCCGGGCTGACTTTGAGCTGGTGGTTATTCTTGAAGGTATGGTTGAGGCCACAGCCATGACTACACAGTGCCGCTCATCTTACCTCCCAGGTGAGCTGCTCTGGGGCCATCGCTTTGAGCCAGTCCTCTTCCAGCGTGGCTCCCAGTATGAGGTTGATTATCGCCACTTCCATCGAACATACGAGGTCCCCGGGACACCAGTCTGCAGTGCCAAGGAGCTGGATGAACGGGCAGAACAGGCTTCCCACAGCCCTAAGTCAAGTTTTCCTGGTTCCCTCGCTGCATTTTGTTATGAGAATGAACTTGCTCTGAGCTGCTGCCAGGAAGAAGAGGAAGATGAGGACTTGAAGGAGGGGACTTCAGCAGAGACCCCAGATAGGGCTGCCAGCCCCCGAGCTCTTACACCACTGACCCTGCCTCCATGACACAGCTGAGGTCCACTTCCCCAAGTTGATAGGGATGGAGAGCTGGCAGCCTCTGTTGGGAGTAGAGCAGGGGTTTCTAAGGACCAGTGGCCTGCTGGGACAACCATTAACCATGAGGTTGTGTGCCACAGATAATACCAGACCTTCGTTTCTCTGCTCCATTCTCACTCTCAAGACCCCCCTTATGAGCTGTTTTCCTGAGTCTTACCAGAACTGAGGGATCCAGATTTCTGGACCATCCAAGAGGCAAGGCATGGAGGCTGGATTCTTGTTAGATACACAGCTGCAGGGTGGAAAGTGTCAATTTACACAGGTGAAGAAACAAAGACTCAAGTGATGATGGCCTTGCTACCCTCAGGAAGAAGGGCAGAGTACTCCAAGTATTGGGGATTGTCATGATTGACCGAAGACAGACTGGTGACTGGACTGTGTTTGAAGAAAAGACCTGGTGGCTCCAGAAAGCCCAAGAGTTGAGATTCTCTGAGTCTAGGTTGACATTGGGGATTCTAGAACAGGTTGGCTACAGAGTGGAAGTGCTCCAGGAATTACAAAGCTATTTCTAGAATACACAGAACATTGGTAGGTGTGAGTTTGGAAGGACACTCTGGAGTACTGGCTGGTTAGAGTTCAACTGAGGGGGTGAGTCTAGCTTCCCCATGATCCACAGGGTAAATTTTGTATTTGTTTGAAGTGCCATTCTTAGAACATCCAAAGGAATCAGGATTCCATGGTTCAAGGTTGGTCAGAGTCTGGGTAGCAGTCTCGATGTCTGTGCTTTGCTGGCTCCACTTTGCCCAGCAGTGCTTAAAAATCTCTTGTGACCTTTGGTGACTTCCTGTGGTTCTGTAATGCCAAAAGGAATCAAAGCACCAGGGGCCCAGAGCTGTCCTTTCCCAAAGGCTGTATGTCCTGGTCACCTTCAGGTGGACATCCTGGTAGTTCTAGGAAGCACTCTTCTGGGCGGAGCTTGCAAGCAAGAGCCTAGAGGGTCACAGGGCTAACTAGGGGGCAAGGGAAGGGAGAGGCTGAGGCTGGTGAGCCTAAAATATTCTGGAATACTATACCTAGTGATGTGTGTCTGTTTCTCAAAAATATTATACATATGTGTACTATATATGATATAAATACAGATCTCTGTCTTTTCTGTTGGTTCCTGTAATAAGATGTGAACAGAGTCAAGCCAATTGGAGCCCCTTGCAGAGATCTTAGAAGACTTACTTTAAATCCCAGCAACTCCAAGTAACTTCAGGACTTTAGGCAAACCTTTCCTTGTGTTGCTTCAGTTCCTGGAACAAGGGCCACTAGAGCATGAAGTTCTCCAAGGGTCCTCCCAAACAGGATGGCCCTTCACCTGATGGAGGCTAGGATACAGTGCAGGTCCTAACATTTCCTGTCCCCACCCTCATACTGAAACACACAGCATTCCAGGGGTAGTTGGAAGGGGATACTGACTTGATGGCTGGTTCCATATTGTATGTAGATTATAGGACCAGCAAGAGGAAGCAGGAGCTATCACCAAGAGTCAGTGCTCCAGGTCAGGGGCTGGGGATGGAAGGGGCAGCTGTTATCTCCAGGGTCATGTTCACTGTGAGAAAAGTGGAATTCTCAGGGGAGCCCTATCATTGTAGTAAAGGCTCAGGAGCTCCAGCAGGGTGCCTGTGTTTCTGGAATGTTGGTCCTTGTTCTTGGTCTTCACCCATAGTACAGCCACCTAAGTGCCCAGCAGGCTGGTGGCCAGCAGGAGGGGAGCTGCCAGGAGGAGGGAGTGCCCTCTCCCTTGTTCCCAACAGAGAGCCAGCATTGGCACTGGCTTGCCTGAGTGAATCCACCCACCCATGCCCTCTCTGGCTCTCATCTTGCTTTATCCTTCAGAATCCCCAGGTAATAACCGGACAGGATTAATTAGCTGGCAGCTCTCCCACCCCTGGGTCTAGGGCAGGGAAGGACTAGGGATGATGGAGACCATAGTGGAGAAAATTGCTAAGCTGATGTAAAGAGGCAGGGGCATGTGGTTCTATTGGGAAGTAGAGGGTGGGATAGGATTGGCACAACCAGGTCTCCAGCAAGGGAGGGCATGGGTCAGGCCACTCATAAAGGTCAGAGAGGGGATTAGGAGGCTCCATGACTAATCCAAAGACTTAACCAAGTCCTGGCTCTGAATCCTCCCGACCTGTGCAGCCCAGGGACACAAATGAGGACAAGACCTGGAAGTCACATCAGCCCCATTATGGGCCTATGATTTACAAATATGCCAGAGTCCCCATCACAGACAGGACCCTCACTGCTTTTCCTGCAAAACAGAAAGGATTCTGGGAGGGGGAGGCGATTAAGAAGGGCAGGACTTTGAGGACTGAAAAGCTGGGTGGAAGGAGGACCTAACCACAGAGACCTGGAGTGCTGCCAAGAGAGTCAGTGCACATTCTGGAGGCAGAGGCAGACAGATCTCTGTGAGTTCGAGACCAGCCTGGTCTACAAGAGCGAGTGCCTGTGACAGGCTCCAAAGCCAAGAGAAGCCCTGTCTCGAAAAACCAATAAAAAAAAAAAAAAAAAAAAAAAAAAAAAAAAAAAAAAAAAAGATTCTGAGGGAAGAGGATGTCTTGGGCAAATATCTGGGGAAGGCGGGATTTTAGGAGGAGGAAGCTAAGACGAGCGTTTAGGAGAGAGGAAGAGCCTGAAAGAGAGAAAGCACCAGGAGGGTAGATCCAGGGTATTTGTGGTCCCCAATACATTTGGAAGGGATAATGCCTTTATTTTACCATCCTTTGACTGAGGAGACTGAGGTGTGGAGGAAAGTCACGTGAGGTGGTACGGAAAGAGTTCAGAGACAGCCACTGCCTGAGACAGAAGTACCCTGAGGAAGAAGGCAAAGACAGGACTGTGCGGCTCCCAGTTGCTTGGCAACCGCCGCGGTCAAAAGCTAGCGTGGAGGGCCAGGAGGTGTGGTCCCAGGAAACACCTCAAGGTTGAGACTCCGCCCTTGACAACAAGACTAATCAAATACCACCCCCTAACAACGAATTTCTGAAAAGGTTAGGCCGTCTTAGTCTGGCTCGTGCGCAGGCGCAATCCTCCCTGCTCAGTCTGGCTCGTGCGCAGGCGCAATCCTCCCTCCTCCACGAATCCCCACCTCCTGCTCCCTCCTTTTTGAGTTTTCTTATTGGAGGATAAAGCTGCCAGGGATTTTCCTTTGTTTCGGGGGCGGGACCAAGCCCCTGGACGCACTTCGATTGGTCACTCTAACAGTCTATCGCTAGCTGTACGTGCCTGCAACCGCTTCTTGTGTGTCTATTGGTCCTGGAAATGATCCTGTGGTTTCGGGGGCGGAGCAGTCTGGGAGAGC